TATACAAATTTGGAACATGGTATATCATTTATTTTGTCATTAAAAGACATCCTTCAAAACATCTTTCATTTGCATGAAGATGGTGACCCAATTGTCTGTCTTGTTCGTCTACAGTAAAATTTATTCTGACATATCCAGTTTTAACCAAATTGTTTTCTATAGAAATTCATAAATTGAATTGTATCTAACTTGAAACATGACCTAAATGTGTTACGAAATGCCGTTATTAAATAACTGAGAAGTAGTTATATCCAGATATACTTTGTATTGTGTGTGTTTTGTTTGTTTTGGGTTGTAATTCTTATAAACGGAAAGAAAAAAAAAAAATATTTCATGATATGTTAATTTACTGGCATGGGTTAGGCCGAGCAAAAGTAACCTAACAAAGAGTTCTGAATTAAGTATACTGGGGGAAGAATCTTTAGGGTATGAAATAAAATTCTAAAGTTGTGAGAATAAAGATGGAGAATTAATACTAAGTAGAAGGACATTGTAAATATCCATACATACTTTTAGCCACATAATGTGTCTTTTGTAAAATACAAGAAAAGAAAACATTACAAACATACATAGTTACAAAAACATTGTCAATATTTTAAATTGTTGGGAATTGTTCCATTGTTTGGAAGTTGGTTCTTGATGTAAAATTAGTTCTTTTCTTCTTTCTGCATGTTTAATGCTGAATGATAGAAATTAATTAATGTTTGTTGTCAACCATCATCATACTAAAACCTGTACCAAATAACATGATCCCTAAATCAACCTTTATTAGTTATCATGACTGCCTGCTGGTTGGAAACGGAAGGTACCTACATTTTCTACAGCATGTATTACAGATAAATGTCATGAACTTTCATTCCTGTACAAGACAAGACAACAATTAATCAGTGTCTTTAATTGTTTTAACATCTTCACTGTCCTCAGTTGTATGGGCGGAATTTCAACACTTAATGTATTGTTTTGACATTAAGCATGTTACCAGGCCACTAAGATAGAGTTGAGTGCTGTTGTTATGAAACTGAAGTTAATTGATGACTGGATGGAATAACATTGCTTACAGTGCATCAATTCAGCATCTGATTAAAAATCCAGCTCTGAAATTTTATCTTAGTTAAACTTTTGTCATAGAAAATGTGCATGAAGTGTGTACACACAAGTTTTAAATTAAAAATTCCATGCTGAAATTTATCTCTATTTAATTTTTGTCATGATAATTTGCATGAAGAATTAAATAGAGTGTGTACAAGTTTGAGATTAAATTTAAGTAACACCATCTTGTGAGAATTGATTAAATATAAGTTACGACTTCTTGTGAGAGTTGTTATCTGCTTCTTGAAATAAATTAGAAAACGGTTGTATTTAGTTTCAGTGAGTGACACTTAAATTAAAAAACTGTAGTTGCCGGCCTCAGTTGACTGCTTGAAAGTACCATGGACTAAACCAATTTATGAAGGTCTGACGATCTCTAAGAATGTATTATATGCAGGAAGTTGAAGAGAATTATAAGTATGCCGAGGTGTGGACGGGTAGATATAGAAATAAATAAACTTTAGCCTTCACCTTTCACCAGATGGACATGGATTCTAGTAATTATTGGCATGCAGGTTGCCTATCATGTCTATCCTTAATTTCTAACATGACTGGTTGTTTATACTATAGGCTTATATCAGGCAGTCTCGAGTCATTCCAGGTAGGGAAGCTAAATAAACAATGCATATTGAATCTGATATATAAAATAAACACTGACTGCTGCTAACTTTATCATAATTTCTTCATTCAGTTTAGATCGGGAAAATACAGGATTCTACTTTAAAAAATGTGTTTCAAATGATTTAGATGCATTAGTAAAACGCTTGTGAAAAATCTGTCCAAATATATCAATTGGATCACATTTAAATGTTAAAGCGATAATTTTATATTTTTAAGTTATATTTTTAAAATGTATTAAAATAAAGCCTTAAAATAGATGGTATCTATAAACAGTCCTACCTTGTTAAAGAATAATTCTATTAATCCTATAATTCACTATTGCCAGTTGAGAAATTGGCTAAAATATCATTTTCAACTTCAAATTCAAATGTTTGAAGATAGCTATTCCGGAAAGGGGGGGAGGAATAGAAAGACAAGGGAGGTAATTGGTTATTATTTCCGGGGTGAATGATTTTTAAGTGTGCGAATGATACCTATGATCGTATAATAGTGAGTTGACAACCTATTGAGCAAAAGACAGAAATAATTATGTTTTGTCTTTCTTAGAAAATATGAAATTCTTGCTTTAAGCGAGTGTTTATTTTTTTGCAATTTTAAAACTTCTCACTAATGTTTTCAAGTACATATCATTCAATTGTACAAAATATGGCATTATTTACAATTCATGTTTTTTTTAAATTGAATGACGGTAAAAAGTAAATTAAAACTTACATGTGCATTTATTTTTTGTGATATTACAACTACTTTCAAATGATTTCAAGTACATTATCATTCATTCATGAAAATATGACATTATTTACAATTCATGTTTTTATTAAATAATAAATTGCAAATTGTGTAAGTATATCAAAATCCCTTTCTCCTGTAAAAAAAAAATGTAATTGCAGTGTTTGTTCAGAGTTCTTTGAAAAGATAATTTCAATTGGAGGGCATTAAAATGGTAAGAGATTGACAATGATTTCTTGTGCTAAAACTATCCCTTAATGTTTTCAAGTGCATTGTATTTATTTGTAAAAATATAATCATCCACATATTTTATCAGATGATCATAAAAAATTGTAACTAAATAATTGTAAATTCCATGTATCATAAAGTTGTGCTGGAAGTGAAGAATTTGTTTAAAATTCATGGATAGATAATATTTAAATTGGATCAGAAGAGTGGCTTGATTTTACTTATTTGTAACTTCAAAGCTAACCCGAGATATTCTAAAGTATATTTAGTTCATTTGTAAAATGCTCACCATTAAAAAAATATAGTAAATTGTGTATTTAATAGTCTGTGACTTCTGCAGTTGATTGAACTTGTACCAACTGTCTTTGTTAAAAGACATATATAACAATGCACCAATTTACTTAAATGAAAATATACAATCTACATGTGTGTCTACACCTGTACATTAATTATGTTTTTATACGAAACTATATCTAACACTTACCTGTCAATACCTGCCTTGTTCATGATTTAATAGAACATCAAATGGAATACAAATTACCCTTAATTTTTATGGAGGACATTAAAACAGATCAATATGATAGGAAACTATTTTTGTACGAAACAATGTTTTGATCTATTAATGAAAAGTGTAGATGAAGTTCGCCTGACATTAGACAATAGATGAGCTATGTATGTTGATATAAGTCTAAGTCTCTATTGTTATTGAGGTAGACAAGGACTGAATTCTATCCACATTTTACCCAGAAGGTCAGCAGTTTTGCTCTCAAGTTATCATCAGGCATGCCAGAAATCTATAGACTAGGAGATATCAATCAAGAAATCATACACTGTATGAAAATGGAAGAGTTATGTATGAAGTCTTGTCTTACATACTATAGGCTATGTTTCCTATAATAAACGATAGACTTCTGCTGAAAACAAAACAAATATCTTGTACATACCATTGTATATCCCAAACCCCACAAATAATATCTTTAATAAAGGGGATTTTAATATATCAAGTGATTGGAAGTGTGAACCAGATTTTGCTTTAATGGATGCCTGACCCCTTGTATCTGTGTATCATTTTTCTGTAGTACCAAATTTTGATTAATCTTACTCAATCTTACTTGGACAAGGATCAAACATCATTTCTTCTGCATGAATGGTGTATTTATTTTAAATTCTCGAGCACATTGTTACATTCAGCATATGATTTGGATGTGAAAAGTGTTAAAACGCAATGGCCTGATCGCCTCTTCATCATCTAATTGAGTTTTTGTCTGTCATAGTTTTCCCTGTCCCTTCTGAGTATAAGCGAGAGCAAATAGAAATGATTATTTTAAAAAAGAGATTACACGCAGGAATACATGTTCATTTGTTTGAGCTGGAAATAAAAATGGTTGTCATGAGCCTATAGTTTTTATCATCCGCTCATTCTTAGGTCTAACTCAATTTCATTACTCAGTGGTGATGTTTTATTGTGATCTCCCTGCTTTGATCTCAATGAAATGGCCAAGAATGCGAAGGCTTAATATAAGAAATTGACCATGTTTTATTACTGCGATTTGTAATGGCGAAACCATTCTTTTTCCCTTTAGTGAAATTGATTTATATGTGTCAATAGACTTTTGCAAGTTTATGATGTAATGATCATGACCTCATAAGAGTTTTAATACAAGAAGCAGGCAATGATGCGATGTTATTAGATTTATGTGTATAACGTTACCAAGTTTGCTGGATAACTCTGCTTCTCTAATGGACACACAACTCCACAATTTTATAACCCTGATAAATATGCCATGCTTTCTAATTCTTAATAGATTTTAGTCATGGCTGCTGATAATGATAAAAGGACAAAACGGTTGAAAAAAGTTGTGAAACAGACAACAGCAGTTTACATGATAATCCAGATTGCTTGTCAAAATAAACCAATTTTTACCATAAGACATATAAGCCACATGCTTTTTTAAAAAAACATCATTCAACATGCTTACATTACATGAACATAATGTGTTTTTTTTTAATGTTGATTTATTGAACATATTTCAACAGTTTAGTTCAACAACTTAAACAAATGTTGTTTCTACATGCATGGTATCTTGATAGAATATGGGTATTATAATTTATGTTAAATAGCCATTAACACCTCAGATTTCTTGGCCACTTAGTTAAAATAAAATTTTATTGGAAGTGATTTGAATATATATATATGGTCAAATCATAGATTTTAAAATTAGACTGTATACAAAATTTGGAAAATCAAAACAGCAAAAGTGAGCCAAATAAAATAAAATATGTTCAGATTAAAGTTGACATGTAAACTTATATGATTGTTTTATTGTATTTTATAGATCAATGTGGAAACCCACTTGGTATGCAGTCTGGCTTGTTGAAAGATGAACAGTTGACAGCAAGTTCCTCTTATAATAAAGCTGAGGTTGGCCCTGAAAATGCAAGGTAAGAATATATTAATACAAATAAGAATATTACCAATCAAACAGGGGAGTACTTTGGCTTCTGGTAAAAATGACTAGCCATTCCTCCAAAATATCCAGATACTCTAATTTTGTTGTCTTTACGATCAATAGTACTATAATATTATAATATGAAACCTTTTTCTGCTATTGCAAATCTACATCCCTGAATGTGCATGTGTGGATGCTTGCATAAATAGCAAAATGTTCCAGTCCAATCTTAAAAAGAAAACAACTCTCAAATTCTACAATATTTAAGGGTAGGACACTTTAGATCATAAGGTCTGCCATTGAGTCTAGGGGTTTCGACCCCAGCCTTGTTCATGACAAGGTGTAGGATCTACTGCCTAACTGGGTCCTTCGGATTCATCCCACTGCTTAAAATACCTCTACACAAATGAATTATCGAATAAAGACTTATGCTGTTAGTCCCAAAATGATCTAGTTTGTGTTTGCTAACTAATAGTTAGTTCACATTAGTGGGAATGGGTTAATAAAGAATGGTCTTTGTTGGCTATATAAATTGATATTGAGCCAGCTGTTTATAACAATAGGTGTGAAAGTTGGCACATTGTATTATATACATATTATCATGATCAGCTATATCTGTTGATCTCAATTTCTTCTTACATAAATATTCATACACATTATATACCATCACTGGGTTCACTCCTTGTACTCATTCAACTCTTTATATTTTCACTAAATACTCCCAATAACTCCCTTATCTTTGTATTAATTGAACATTAAATGGGTTTAAAAGGGAGGAAAATTGTCAAATTAGGTATAAAATAGTGTGATTAGCACACCTGTACTGTCTTATCTGTGTAAGAAATAAACACAGATATTACCAACATATATATATAGTCCATTTTACATGTGGTAATAATACATCACTTTCTCCATCTGTACACACACTCTCTATATAAATCTCAACTAGTTTTACCCATATGGTATGGAAGGCTCATTTACTTTAGCCAATGACGGTTTTCTTATTCATCCATAGGATTTGTTTCTTGAGTACTGGTTTCATGTGACGGTAATTTTTATACTTATAAATAATAAGCAGTTCACAGCAACTTTTAACATCAAAATTATGGGTTGCACCGTGAACCAATATATCATTATTTCTATCCCCCATTTGTACACATTATATGGATTTTCTCCTGTTACTAACATGTACCTTCGATTGTTAAAGAGAATGAATTAATAAATAAGCATTATTCACGTATTAACAAGAGACCATTTGATAGACCCTAAACACATTGCTCTCACTGTTTCTGTTCAAAGATGCATTATTGAAACTTTCCTTGCAGATACCAAATGCATGGGACTCAAAACTTGCATTTCTGTGCAGGATTACAGTTACAGGTTGTGAGGGGTCCAGAGGGCACCATTATCACCTTATGATAAGAACTGGTGCTTATATAAACACCGTTGTGGGTTTAAATATTGTTTTCATTTTCAATTCGTGCAATATTCTTGTTATCATTATCTGACACAAAAACTCAAACCAGACTACCAGTAACAATAGATTCAGCAAGGTTTTTTTACTGCTATTAAATTCACTGAAGACAGGCTTGGCATGTTCCCAAAGAATGCTGTCTGCTTCTGGATTCTATGAAAAAAACACAAGTAATAAAGCCACAAACTACACCCCATGGGATGGATGACCTTTGGTGACTTGTGGGCAGATGGTGACAATCCATTGCTCAGTTATTTCTGGTGACTTGCGTGCAAACTGTTTCAAGACATTCAACTGACCATTGTGAACTGTTGAATCTTCCATGTTTAAGATTTATTCCCTTCCTCTGGTATGGGAATCAAAACACAGATTGTCTGAAAATATGGCTTGGAGCTCTTTAGTGGTCAACAATCACCATTGAAATCTTAAAAGCTTATTGTGACTATTATTTAGGTTATGGTCAGGTTTATTGTCCTTTACATATTTTCAGCCATATTAAGAAGTAGAATTGAGAAGGAGTGGATCATGAATTTCCGTCACATTTGTTCAACAGTTTTTTTACTCAGTTTTTTTCTTTAATGTTACATGTACATCTTTTTACCGTCTGTACCGGAATTCCTGAATGGGGGGTGAAAATATGAAAACATTTGGTTCATGTATTTGTGAATTTATTATTTTAATATACAAAGTTCAAAAACAAATTATATTTCTGAACAATGTGTTAAAGAATTGAGCGGTTAGCACCTTTTCTGATTATCTGAAATGGTTAATTCTCTTTAATAATCGTAAATCATATTCTCAATAATGCACAGGAGAGGTGAGTGATGGGAATGTTCTTATATGGTGAGGTTATTAGTAGGGTGTTGAGAGCTGATATCGGTATTGAAGGAATGTAATGCAACTATAACACGACTTATAATAATAAATGAAAGCCAGCATATCTTCCTTCTTATCCATTTCTACCTAATTTATATTGCATTGGTCAACAATGGTATAGGTAAACCATACTACTTATATACATACCACAGATTCATGGCACTCTGCAATAATGCCTGCTCTATATTATACACATGGACAACAGTTTCACATATAAATATTATTGTTGCAGTTTCTGTAGTTATTCTGTAGATAATTGACATTTAATACTGTACATTAAGTACAAATCACTTAATTTATAGTAGTAAATTATATATAATACATACACACAACATCTTTAATAAACAATACATAGTAATACAACCCCTTAAATATACAAGCTCATTATGTAATCTGCTAATATATGATTTAATAATACACAAGATCTCGATATACAAAGATGTATATTGATATGTTGATTAAATATACAGACTACATCAATATACAACAATATCCCTTGATTACAAATACACTATACCCTAATATACAAATAATATTTAACCCCCAATTCACACCAAAAGTTGTAGCTGCAGACACTCAACATTGAATGAAATTCCTCTACTGTAAACCGAAAATAAAAATATATGTAGTTGCATAATCACCCTAAGCCTCATTTAACTATCAATTTTTTTGTGCAGACATATTTGATGTAAACTGTTTTAGGAAATAAGCAAAGTCTTTACTCTTGTCATTTATCAAAGAAAATAAGATGTTTATTGGCTCGTTAACTGTGTCTAGTTAATCAAGTTTTTTTTCTCTCTCTTACTTTTCTTTAAACCTGTTTTATGTTTATCACTGATGGGTGCATAAACAAGATTTAGTGAGAATATATGATAATGTGTGCTTGAAAATGGACTTGGCAAATTTTAGATAGAATCAAGAAAAGTTTGCATAAGAAATCACAAGTACAAGAACCCTTTTGTAAATTCGCCAAATAAGAAGTGACAGGCCTATCTGGTGTTCTAAAAAAAATGTAAGCATACACAGCCTCATGCACAACATTTGTCACCATATAGTTTCAATAAATGGAACAATGTTTTGTTGAAGTTTGTATAAGAAAACAGAAGAAAAAAAAAATGTGTCTAGCTTTTAGAAATAGTAAGCATTCCTTTCCACATGCATAATAGTATCTGTCACTACTTGTAAATGAATGGATTTGTAATTTGAACTTGGACTTCAGAAGCCTTGTGCATCTTTCCTTGATGACAATTAAGAGAGCTTGGTTGTTTATATATTAAGATTCCACTAGACGGAATAGTGAGGAAAGAATTTAAAGATTACCATTCTTTCAACCTAATGAACCATCTGAACCTATGGGAAGTAGTTAAATCATCCAGTGCTGAGTTTCTTCTTACGTTACATAAACATTGTTTTCATCTATAGGCCAACTTCAAATGATAAAAACATCCCAACTTTTACTCCATAATTAGAAACTGTATCTTGGTAAAGGTTTTCTCCATATCTCTGGTTTGACAAGTCGAAAAAATTATCTGATGATTCAAGGAGACAAATCTGTCAAAATTTTTGCATATTTGGAGTTTAAATCTTTTTTATAGCAATGACATGCATGCAAAGCATGGGACATTACGATATGGTATTCCTTAATTCGACTTTAAGTATCATTTGATTTGAAATCTTAGATTTTGAGAAAGATTTTTGATTAATCGTCAGAGCAAGACCTGCTTCAGAATTTGTTTTTTTTTTCTCAGAAATGCCATGTTTCAGGACATTTTTTTAGCATCGATATTGGTATCAAGTAATTGGAGATGCTACTCCATAGTTTAAAAAACCCAGTCACATCTTATTTCTATACACGTGAGAAGGATTGAATCCACATCTGCTATATACATTCATTTAATGTTCATATATAGAAGAAAGAGTAGAAACTTTATTGCATAAAAAACCTTACAAGGTTATGTGCATATACAAATAAAAATAATAGAAATATACATGAAACAAACAAAGGATACAATCATGGACCTAATTATACAAAGATACACAACTTTACATAGACATGAACGAATTGTACACAAAAGATAATGAACATTTTAAAATTTCTACATTTTTATTCATCATCAGTATTTTAAATTGTTGGAAATCATTCAGTTTATAAAACTTTGGTTCACAAAATAGAATTAATCTGAACAGTTCATTTGATATAGATGTTTTGTTCATTTTTAAATTTATTTTTCTATACAAACCTTCTCATTTGTCTATACTTTTTCAAAATTTGTCATAAAAGAGACATACACCATGCTAGATTTTTTTGGGGAATAACTGACAGATTTTTTTTCAAACTACCAAAGACATTATGCTAAAATTACATATTTATATCATTTATTCTTAAACAGTTTCTCATTCTTCCCTCCTTCAAATGAATGACTATGCGAAATAAGAGTTAGGAATCTAAAGACGGTTCCTTTGAAAAAAAAACTTCTCCATATGTTGGAATTGCTGACCTATCAAGAATAATTTATGAAGAAAATTGGCCTCTTGTGAATTTTAAATTTCATCATAAACTTTTAACATTTATCAAAGTGGTGTTTATAATTGCCCACCCAGCTTTCAACATATTTCAATAATAAACTTCTGATTTCATTGAA